TCCCTAACTCCATCTGATCTCATGATACCCTTCAAGTTCCAGCGTAGACAATTTACTTTTATGTTTTCTTACGCAATGACAATCAACAAGAGTTAAGAGCAGTCGTTATTCCATGTCGGACTTTACATGAAAAGACTGGTGTTTATTAGTCATGGTCAATTATACGTTGATGTGTCTCGAGTCACTAATCCACATGATTTAAGATATTAATATGTGGGGGGGGGGACGACAATGGGGAAAAGAAAACTACTAAAAATGTTGTCTATCAAGAAGTTTTTCATAATTTGTAATACCATATAATATTGTACTTTTACTATCTATTCAATAATAATGTTATTTATTTGTCATTTACTTTTTATGATATATATATATATATCTATATATTTTAATGTATTTATTAAAATATTTTAATAAATATGTTCCGTGCATCGCACGGGTGAAGATACTAGTACAATTAAATGTGGACTTGAGTCTATTTTGTACTCAAGTACAAACTCAAACACTCATCATTTATTCCTCATTTAAATTTTCTTTTAATAAATGAAACTATAAGAGCATTTTTATTGGTTGACATGTATGCTAGACCTAGTATTTTATTTAAGCATTGAATAGCTATTGAGTTTTTTTACTTGGGTTTGTCCATGTCATTTAAAACTTTAAGTCAATTTATATGTCACATATGTAAAATTAGACTTAATGCATTGTGTGTGCTCTAAGGGCGTGCTTGTTTATGAAATATTTAGGAGATGTATTCAATTGGAAATTTAAGTGACATTTTAAGATTTTTTTATAATTTAAGATTTTTTAGGATTTTCAAATTTGAGAAGAATTATATGAAATCTTCAGTCTTGAAGTAGGATTTGAAGTGGGATTTCATATAAGGGTTTTTGTTTAGAAATCCCACCAAATCTTAAAAAGTCTTAATAAATCATAGTGTCAACAAAAATTATATATCTCAGGATTTTTGTAAGACTTTTGAAATCCTAATTGAATACCTCAGAATTTTTAAAAGTCATAACAAATCTAAATTGAATATAACAGAATTTTTCAAGTCTTAAAAAGTCATTAAAAATCCTAATTAAATACACCCCCTTAGTTCAAAATGAGTGATTTTAGTTAACTAGAGTTAATTTTGAAAAATGTGGTATGCTTAGGTGTTAGTGGAATTTTAAAAATATATTAAAATAATAATTAAAATAAAATGATTAGAATCGATTTGATGTAAAAGTAAGAGATAGATGATTAAAAATGATATGGAGTTAAATTATGTTAGTGAGTGAATATGGATTATTTTAACCTCTTGTCGATTTGATTTTCAACTTCGATCAAAATTTTGAAACGCTTCTATAGCTTCGTCTTTGATTCTTAACAAATATAAGCAGCAAAACCTAGTGGAATCATCGACATATTTGTTGCACCATTTTCAACTCACATACATCAATATGGATTACACCCAATGGTTCACTACTCTTTCCTACCTAATTAAAAATATATTTAGCAATTTTGGTTTCAAACAAATTTCACATTTTTTATGCAATTTTATTTTAGAATTAAGAATTAGTTCTAAATTTATCGACCATATAATTTTAGATTTTAAATTTTAAATGTCATAATCTAAAATACTATAAATCAGAACACTCAACGGTATAAACAGAAATAAGTTATTCATTATTATTGAAAATAGTCACACAACTCATAGACATTACAATCAACAATTCTTTGTCAAGATAGCCACGACCAAAGAAAGTTTCAAACGTGCTACAAACTTTTTAACACTAGTCTAAATTCATGCTCTACAATACAGGATCTTTGACCAAATTGTTGTGAATTTCCAGGACATGCAAGACATCTTTAACCTTCAACTCTTTTCCAGAAGTTAGCTTCAGCACCACGGTGCCAACTTCAGCCACAACAGACAAGGAAGAGTTATCCATGTGGAGCTTCCGACCAGTAGAAGAAGTATAGTCAAAAAATAACTCCTTGTCGGAACAAACATGACGAGCGACACCAGTATCAATGTACCACTTCTTGAGTTATCCACCATGTTAGCTTCAAACACCACAACAGACATATCAAAGTCGGTCAATTCACCTGGCACAAGTTCATGTTCAACAATGTGGGCACTTGGTTGCATCCTCTTCAGCCCAACCTTCTTAGGCTTCTTGCAGTTCTTCGCCATGTAGTTCGACTTTCCACAGTTGTGGCAATAGCCGATAAATTTCCAAACTTTGGCAAGTTGTTTACCCTTGTTAAGGGGCTTCATCTTGCTCGAGTTGCCTTGCTCTAACAATTTAGCAAGAGCTTCCATCATCGGAGCTTTCCTCGAAAACCTACGGTTGTCATTCTCAATCCAAAATTCATTTCATTTTTTTTATGCTTGAGGTAGTTCTTGAAGTTTTTCAAATCTGGCGGAAAGTTCTCGATTATAGCCGCAACTTTGGAACCACTCGCTTAAAGTCATTCCCTCGGCATGAGACATGGCCGCCTTGGAGTCTATTATTAATTTTTGGATTCCTCCCTAAGAATGAAAGAAGAATGTTCATCATGTTTAGTCTTCACTCCAAAATCCACCCAACTTGCTGCAAGTTCCACCGTACACAGAGATCAGTTACCCACATATTGATGAATGATCCATACTAGACACCACATACTACACTTATATTGATATATTATTAATCTACCTACGTTAGTTGTGAAATTCATTGTGAATTAAAGCATTGTAGTTGTGGCTTTATTGAATTGGTTCAAAATTTATGGTTCATTAGTGTATAAACTATAAACTTGTTGTTTGTTAACGTTAACATTCGTTAGCCAGTCACCTCACAACTCTCTACAACGGCAACACAAACGTTAATGTGACAATAAAAGCGGCAGAACATAAATCAAAATCAATGCCCACATAAAATTCAATAACAATATTAAAATAATTCATATATTATGATACCGATCATCAAAATAGTAACGAAAAAAAAAAAAAAAAACTATAAATAGTTCCTCTAACTAAACACATAATTACATATATTAGTTAAGTCCTTTAGAGGGTGCAAACCTGTCACCACTGCAATAGTATCATCCCTTTTTATTTTAATTTTCCCCATAAAATTTTATTTAATATCAAGGCCAATAAAAAAAAATAACCCCTGTTTTTTTTTATTATGTATAATCTTATATTTTCTCCCTATGTAACACCAAATTTAGGTATAAAAAAAAATTAAAATTGGCCTCCTTGGAATGTCTGCCCGAACCGCCACCCGGCCGGTGCCACATTGTAGCTCGTGAGGGTCCTTCCGTCGCCCCCCACGATTTGAAACGATAGCGCTTGATCGTTGAGGTAAGAGTTGCTCTGCCAATTTTGCCCCCAATTCCTCTGACATGGGCTGCCAGCCTGTCCTTGACCCCTTAATCGACACGGCATGTATATCGCCCGGGCCACCGACATTGGTCACCAAAACCAAGTTGAAAAACGAGTGGCCGTTGATCGTGAACCTCACGTCGCCCTTTTTCTGGCACGGCACCCTGTTTTCCGATCGACCACATTATAATTACATTATAACTATACTAATCACAGACAAGTAGATAGACAGACAGATAGTAGTATAGTCTTAATTGCGACGATTTATTTTATTTTTTTCTTTTTTTGAAATATTTCGAGTTATTAGTTACCTTCGAAAAGAAACCGGGACAATGCCAGCTCGGTATTGGGCGATTTGAAGGTATGCTGGCTCGGCAAGGTCAAAGTGCTGACGTGGCGGGTTGCACCACCCGCCGGCGTCATTGGGCAGGGAAGGGTTGGGCGGGCAGAAGTTGGTGGCGGTGACCGTGATGGTCCCAGGTAAGCACCACTTAGGGTCACTAGAGCAGGTAAGTTCGTAGCAGGCCCCACAGGTAAGACCGTTGTTGAAAAGAGCGGTACTCAAGGCTGCGGTGTTTGTACCGTAACCCTGGCTGTACAAGTTGCCATAGCCACAAGCACCTCCTACAATAGTTTTGTTTGGTAAATTATGAAAATTTGTACAAATACAAAATATACATACACGTGATGTTTCATGCACGTAAAAATTACCCATTGTGCCGGATGCATCCCCGCCGCCGTAGAAAGTGGCGTGGGCGGTGTCCCATCCTCCGTAATCGCCATAAGTACCGTGCAAGCAGAAGCCGACAATCGACAAAAGTAGAAGAGAAAATAGAGAAGAAAACATTGAGTTTGAGAAAGATGGCAAAAATGGAGATGTGTAAACTTGTGTAGTTGAGAAGAGATAGAGTTGAAGGCTTGAGCTTAACATGTTTGGACTATGAGAGCTCTATTTATATGGAGAGCACCTTAGGGCCAACAAAAGAAAATGAGATATGAAAATAATAAATAAATAAATAAAATACAATTAAAGTATCAGATATTAGAAAGTGATCAATCATAACAAATGTTGGGTTACCAACAGGAGTTGGAAGTGGTAAGCAGCTTCATGCCGCTTAAGCAAGGTCTCAGTTTCGAGTCTTTGTGGATGCAGAAAATTCTTGTTAGGACACTCACCCACCACTACCAGATGTGCAACTTGGGTCGACCAACGGATTAGTCGGGACATAACTCCGAATACCGTGGTTGGCTAAAAAAAAAAAAAAAAAACAAATGTTGGGTTTTACAAAGACCTAAAATGCACATGCCCTTGTTTCAACTAAAACTGTACCAAATGCTAGTCTTCTAGTGACCCAACAAGTACATGCATGTATTGCAACCTTTCCTTTTTTTTTTTTTTATGCTTCTTTGATTTTCTTGATTCTATATCCTTTTTTCAATTATACAAAAATATAAGTATTTATTGGATAAATAGTGTATGGTTATAATTAAAAATTAATTATAAAAATATATATGTGGTATTATATTTCTTTATAACAAATTTGAAATATATTATATATATATATATATATATATATATATATAACATGCAATTATCAGTAGTGTGGATGGGCTAATTAGTAACAGTAGTTGATCATTGCCAAATTGAAATATTAAAATTCAAAATAATGTAAAAGACATGGAATTTTTTCTGTAGCATTCCCAAAGATTGAAATTAAATTGAATTTTTTTGAGATGCAAAAGTCAATTAGTCCAAATAAATTTATTCACTACCCAATGGAAAGTTAATATTAGGTTTAATCATAATCAGAGTTATATAAACTGCTCAATTTCTATTATTTTTTAATTTTTTATTATCATCGCCCTTATATATAATTCCCGAATCGCTGAGCCTACGTGGATGCTTCTGGTGCTTCGGAATCCTACTTGACGAAGAATCATACTTCGTAATTAGGTTCGGACAAATAATATTGATATATTAATAATTAATATCTAGGTTCGGACATTCCATAAATATTATTTAGCTAACTTAGGTATTTTAATATCACTTGTACTAATATAACCCTTTAATTCTTTGTAATTTTACATAGTAAGACACTAAGTGACTAATATATCCCTCACTTTTGATTTGTTTCTTTCAATTAGCTATTGAATTATAAATGTATTTGAGAAGTCGATAACTTTTGTATTTCTTATCGGTTTTACATATATAATATATCAAATTAATCATCTTTTCATGATCTTCGATTTGACATCCATATTGTATATATAAAATAAATAAATAATATTTACTTTTATAATAATAAAAAATAATATTTATTAAATTTTATTAGAAAAATTAAATTATTTCTCAGTTGATATATTTTTGTTTAATGTAGTTATATGTTGTAAGTTAAAAAATTATTATAATATAACACAAGTATGTCACACAAATAAAAGTGTCATACTAAATATATAATAATATATATTTTTATAAAAGTTATTTAAATTTTCAACTACTTTTTCTCAATAATTTTAGATTTTAAGGAAAAAATTAGCAAGCACCCGTGTAATACACGGGCATTGTACTAGTTACTTATATATACACTACGAAAAAAAGTAATATATTTCGATGTGAATTAACGGTAAAAATATATTAACAAAAATTTTCAGTGTTATTACTTTTATTGAATATATATTGGAATTTACCATTGCAATTCTTTTGTAATTTAATATTTTTCTTGCAGTTTTGCTTACTGGGCGTTGTCCGGCGACAGCGCGCCTCTGGACTTGTTTAATTCCGTCAGGTGAGCTTACAGATTTCTTCACTATCCCTTTTCGAGAATGGACACAGTAATATGTCGGCATGGCGCGTCGGGCCGATTCTGGACTGGAGTAGCCTGTTTGCAATTACGGTATGGAACAATTGGAAATGGAGAAATGACCGAGTATTTAATTCTCGGGTGAAGTCCTGTGAAAGCCGACGGTTAGAGGTCCTCCCTTTTGCGGGATCGTACGCAAGAGCATGTGAAGCTTTCAGAAAAGTCGGAGCTGAGAGATATGAGGTACGCATGATTCATTGGATGCCACCGGATTCGGGCTGGGTCAAAGTCAATATAGATGGAACATTTAACAGCTCTACGGGCCTAAGCGGTGCGAGAGGTATCATGAGGGACGAGCGAGGAAAGTGGATGGAGGGATTCATTATGAATATCGGCTTCAACACCATTACATGAGCCGAGCTTTGGGGGGTGCTTCAAGGTCTTCAGATGGCTTGGGATCGAGGGGCCCGTAAAGTTGTAGCGGAAACCGACAGCCAATGCGTGACCAATATGCTCACTGGATCGGGACAGCACTTCGGGGTGCATGATGGTTTAGTTCGTGCGGTTAGAGAACTGGTCCAAAGGGAGTGGCAGGTACATATCCAACATGTGCACCGTGAGGCGAACTATGCAGCGGATTATTTGGCGGGGATCGCGGAGACAACCTCGTTGGGGGTACATCGGTTTTCGTCACCCCCTTCCCCCCCGGGGGGTTGGAGCCTGGATTGATCACGACTCGAGAGGGGTGTCTTATCCTCGTCGAGTATTAGCTAGTTATTAAGCCTTAGGCCTCCTTCTTTTGCACCAAAAAAAATAATAATAATAATAAGTTGTACATCAATGTCTCTCTCAATATATATCTACAATTGTTTTTCTATTGATACATTTAATAATAATAAATAAATAAATAGATATAAAGACACTGAAATTAAAGATAGACTTTTGGGACACGTTTGGGACCAAAATAATGGGAAGGTACAACTCAAGAAAATAATTTTGAACAGACATATATATTAATGTGAACATTAGAAAACAAATTTAATAGATGGCAAATTATATAAGCTACGTAATTTCTTTTTATAGCTTAAGCACAATTTAATTTAATTAGTGATAGAGATTCAATAGCATTTGTCAATTATCCTAATAATAATAATAATAATAATAATAATAATAATAATAATGTTTTATTTTATCGTCATTGTCCATTTGGATAAGTAATTTATTAGTTAGGATAATAGATAATTATATTATAATTAAACATTGTCACATAGCGACATATCGATCCCACATAAATTGATTTAGTTAAAGGACCTACGACGTTAGGAGCACATGCAATTCCCTTTGAAAAAATTAGGGATTGGAATTTTACAACCGATAAACGTATTAGACCAAACTAACAAGTGGCGTAGCCAGAATTCTAATTTATCCGGGCTGATTAATATACTTAGTTGGTATTGCCACATTAATACATCGTATGTTTTTTTTATCATTATTTTAGAATACCATCTAATTATTAATTAATTTAAATATTTGTGGTGTAGTTTATTTTAGGAAGATAACACAAGTTTCAATGTTAAAAAGATCAACATGTTTTTTTAAAAAAAAAAAA